GGTGAATTGATTAAAAATTTATTATAAAATAACGATAATGTTTATGAAGGAATATGCATATTTTCTTGACCGAAAAAGCTAAAGTAATTTTAAATATAAGTATAACAAGCTTAGATCTAAAGAAAGTTAATAAGAAATATATTCAAATAAAATAACTAAAAGAAAGCTAAATACTAAGTTCTAAAAAAATAGTAAGCCTCAAAGTATTGTTTAAGGAAAAAGATCCTTAAAAACTAATGAGTATAATAGAAAAAATAGAAAGATATTATAAACAAATAGATAAATATATATTAAGAATCACAGAAATTAGTATTAAAATTATCATAGTAACTAGAAATTAACATAAAATTATAAAGAAAATAATTATAGAAAAACATTAAACTATACTTTTAAAGAGCTAGAACATAAGCTCATAATAGCAGAAGAAGCCAAAAAGAGTATAATACATTAGAAAAACAGTAATAATCTATTTATCAAAGCAGACTAGAAAATTAAAGATAGTAACCAAGAAGTAAATATAAACTTAACACAAGAGCCTGAAGTAGAGACAACAAATATCAACATAGAAGTAGCTAAATCTCCTAAAACAAAATACTTAGAGAGCAACACAAAGTTAGTAGTTATTCAAGAAATCGAGTATTTAAAAAAAAAGCTTGCAAATAGTAACAAAATAGCAGTTAAAATTCTGTTTATAAATGAGTAATTAGTAGATATTTAAAAGGTACCAAGAATACAAAAATATAGTAGCTCTAAAAACTTAGAGATAAGTATTTATGAATAAGTATTATGTTTATGATTTTAATGAAACTGATTAACATAAATAATCATCTTTATACTCACTGACTAAATTAATGCAAATGAAATGATTTGAAGGGTATTAGATAATTAATTGTAAATAAGTATTTAGAAATAAGTATTTATGAATAAGTATTTATGTTCATGATTTTAATTCCACTAATTAACGTTAATAAATCATCTTTATACTCACACACTGATTTGAAAGGTATTAGGTAATTAGGCCATACCAATTTGATTTTCTGTTTAACATAACCTCCCCCTCTTTTTTTGAAGACCTATATAGTATAAATAATACACAGCATATATACCAACTTCGTATAACTATAATAATAACTGTATATCAATACGATACAAATAAGATATGTACAGTATGTACGGTGTAAGAAATCTAAAGAACCTCAACTGTTTATATAGAATAAAACTAAATATATTATTTTCAATAGCTTCAAGTATAGTATAGTTGCTATTAAGTGCATATGGTTCCTGGCACATTATTTCTATTCAAAGAAATGGGAATTCTAGATCCTTCACTTTATTGAGATTGATAATTTATATTGAGATTAAAGTTTTAAATTTCTTGTATCATACATACGTACAGTACATACGTATGCATATACATATGTCACACATATAAAATTTTAAGAGTATACGTAATCTTTTTGTACGTAGTTTTACATCGCAATAGCATAATGCAGAAAATATGTAATCGAATAGTATAATATAGTAAATACATGTGTAACTATAGATTTATAGTAAAAATTGTATAAACGAAAAGTTAGGATTACTAAGCCATAGGTTCTCTTTCCCCAAGACAATAATAAAGAAAATAGATACCTCGTTTTTGCGCTACTAGTGAGGGTGTGATCAAAGGTATTGGTTGTAAATAAATAAAGGTGTCATTAGTATAGAGTTGAAAATCTTATCTGACACTATATTGGTAATAAAGTTTTTTTTAACAAGTTTTCGCTTTTCATTAAATCTAAATAAAGAGACAAGCGATGGACAGAGTAAATTTTAAATGGTCAAGGGCCACAGGAATAACAGCTACATACAAAATTTAAATATGAAGAATTTTAATTCTTCTAACATAATGTTTTGGAGTTAAAAACCCTTCCCGATGGTGCTTAGCATTAATAATTTATCCTTTTTTCGATTGCGTAAAGCCTATTTTGTAATACTCTTTAATCACAAAAAAAAAATTAAATCACGAACTATAAAAAGTTAGAATTGGAGCAAAAATGGTATCGATAATGCAGCTTGAACAATAACGATAGTATATAAAAAAAAAAGTCTCATCGTTAATTCCCAGTGAATACTTACCTATTATTAATTTTTTCAAGAATGCTTTATCTCTTGGTTCAGGTCAACGAGGGTGTCAAATGCGTTATTCCAGAGCGTGTAATGAGCATAGAGTTCACAAATAATCAATTTTTTGACCTTTTTGATGCAATCACGTTAGGACAATATGATGGAAGAGAGGTGAAGGTTTTTATTAGACAAAAAGAGGTTGAAGGTTGGCAAGAAGTAGACAATGGGTTAAATGGCGATTTAGCAATGTTAGAAGTTTTGGGCTTTAGACTGGTTAAATTTTGTCTTGTTTCTAGTAAAAATTTAGATTCTCCAGACTTAACTCAAGATGGGCCAGATGCTTTTAACATCTTAATGACAAATTCGAGAAGACTATTACTTCCTAGACATTGTACTGAGAAAAATAACTTTGACAGACTTTACAATGAAATTATTGAACTTTTTCAAGATCAAAAAGTTGGCTGGATATGTGGTTCACATGAAACGATAGGAAAAGAATTCATAAATCGTCTTACAAGTGCTTTGTGGTATATTGATCCACATCTTTCGACATTGAAAGCACATTTATACTACTTGCCAACTCTTTTCACACAGTTAAAAACATATAAAAATGATGAATCCTACAACAATTACTATTATACTAGTCATCATAAAAAAAATTAACTTTCTTAGCAAAAGCTTACACATCTTTCAAGCTCTCTTGAGCTTTCTATTAGTCAGCCATGGACAAGTAGTGATATATGGAATAAAGTAATACCCGCTGTTCTTTCTTTAATTGAAATCTTAAAAAATTATTCTGATTATTTAATTGCAACTGCTACTAGCATGAATGAACTTCATTACAGTGATAAAAGTGCTTGCAGCCCTCAAAATGACAGTATTATGTACTGAATTGGTGCCTGTGAAAATAATAAACTTAAAGATGACTATATTGAATTAGACGATTTTTTATTTGAAAAGCAAATTTATGAACATGCTAATATTCAGCAGTTTCTTCCAATTGATGTTATGAAACGTTATCGATTTATAAAAGAGTTGCAACTTACATTTCTAATCGGTGTATACAGGTTAGTATTTGTACCTTGGCTATACAATAATATAGTGATATTACATAAATATCGCAAATAAAAAATCTGTAAAGTTTTTAAAGATTTTTTTGCTTTTTTTTTGATAGTAATCATATCATAATTTAGTATGCGTTTTATCTAATTTATATTATCGCTATTTTATTTTTTAGATATTATCAAGAAAATTATTTGGGTACAATCAATTATGTATAGAGAATCCCAGACGATGAAGTACCTAATGATGAAACGTTGAAGGCACGTATGCTAGCTAGAATTCACGAAGAATTACCCCATTACTTTACATGACAAATACGTAAGAATGTGCTTAATAAGGTAAGACAATGTAATAATGTTTAAAACATTAAATGTATACATTATCGTTATAATTTTTGTGTT